TTATAAAACAATTCTTCGAGTTTTATAAAACGATTCTCGAGTTTTATAAAACGATTCTTTGAGTTTTATAAAACGATTCTCGAATTTTATAAAACGATCCTCGAGTTTTATAAAACGATTCTCGAGTTTTATAAAATGATCCTCGGGTTTTATAAAACGATTCTCGAGTTTTATAAAATGGTCCTCGAGTTTTATAAAAAGATCTTCGAGTTTTATAAAACGATTCTTCGGGTTTTACAAAACGATTCATTTTATATTTCTACGGGGAATTTCGGCCGTTGATTCCGTCGTACCGATTTTGACCCCAACACTTGATAGGTTAAAATAGACTCAAATAGTGAACGTGTAAACTTAAGTAGGGCTATTAAATCTCAGTAGTCTTCTACTTGAACCGTTCACCATTTGAGCCACCATGGTCATTCATATTGTTACCTGAGAGTGGTAACAGTAGTAAACTTTACCTCATGTTTTGGTTTTGTGGGGTTATGTTGCTGCAGTATAGCGTTAGAAGAGGGGTTTGGAGAATGGATAAATGTTCTTGATTCTCTGGTTCAAATCACACAAGGAAGAGCTGAAAGATGGTCTCATTTCCTTCCTTGGATGAGCGCTTTTGTTGTCTTCACACCCATATTAAATAAAATAGTGATTTTACCGTGTCATGGGGACTATCTGTAAAGTAAAATATCATTGTTATACACCCTTGTACACAGTTAGTCTCTGTCTATTACATGTAGCATCTCGGTTTTGTCATCATTAGTTAACTATAATAATGGTTCAGTTTGGGCTGTGTAACAAAAGCTTAGATGCGTTTCACGTTTGGTGGATACTCCCGACTATATTTTGTAATTATTTCTTCTTCTTTTTTTGTCACAGCAACTTAATTCCGATTCTCTAATGCCTTCTTCAAGTGTTTCTTCTTGGCTTATTTATGATATGTCTAGCAATCTCGAACTTTGTCTATAACATTTTTGTACGGTTTATTTGTGCCAAATGGGAAAATGTTCACATTGAGGTAAATGTTGCACGCAATTATTTCAAATCTAACAATTTTCATTTTATTTTCCCTCCGCAAGAGGTTCACAATTAATTCACAAACCCAGTGATCAATAACCAAACAAAACATTTAGCAAAGTCCATACAATATACAAAATTACAAAGAGTTACTTTACGCACTTAAGAACTATCTTACAAGTTCCAACAATAGTGATCCCTTTAAAAGCTCACAAAGTTCCTAAAAAATAATACAACCACAACTTTTACATATCCAATTGTCTCATATCTCAAAGAAAACGAGTTCTTTAAATATGCACAAATTTTAAGTTCACAAATATTGTATAAAATAGAGTACACAACCTCACTCAACTTATTAAATTCTTATTAGAGTAGTCATTCGTCCATTAACTTTTCACGGACAGATTTTTTTAAACAGCCAGAAAGATTCACCCAGTTATTTATTTCCAAATGATAACCGAATAAACATACAACACTTATAACAAACAAAAGTTTCTCTCAACTAACAAATATACAAATATGTTATGTCCGGCGTGTAGCAAAGACAAACACTATAATATATAAAATAAATAGAAGAATTCATTTATAATATTGCTTTTACGTTGTATCAAACCAAGTTGAAAGAAAAAAAATAGTGTATCTCATAGTTTATTCATCATTTTCATCTATAAACTTAAGTTAAAAATATTACATAGAAATTCTTAGGGCATCTCCAATGATACTCTATAATTTTCACTCTAAAATAGTGCAACTCTATTATAGAGTTAGATTTGCTCCAATGGTTTATTCTATAATAGAGTTACACTAAAATAGAGTGAAATATAGAGGGATGTTGCTTTTTTACTCCAAATATAGAGTGAAAAATCAACATTCCTCAATATCCCACTCTATTACAGTGTTAACTCTATTATAGAGTAAATCATTGGAACAAATCCAACTCTATTATAACATTACACTATTAGAGAGTGAAATATAGAGAAAATTATAGAGCACCATTGGAGATGGTCTTATTAAAAAAAGAACTAATAATTAATTAACACTAATATTCAAAAACAGTTCGAAAAGTAATAAAATAATAACTTTGCATGAAAATCACAACAACTAAAAAAATTGTACGATCAAGTGCTTGCCATGAATAAATATCATCTAAAGACCCTTACCACTTGGTAAAGAGCTTATCAACCAAAAGTTTAATCTTAATATAAAGTACATTTTTCCAAGAAATACTTGATCAAATGAAAAGAAAGTACAAGAAATATACGAGTTTTATGCAAATTTAAATGGATATCGCAGTTGATCATGTTACATATGTGATTTCTGCATCTGATCCGTGGTGGAAAGATCATGAAGTAAGTAATTTTAATCTTTACCACACCCAAGATATATTAAACAAATTTTAGTATTATCTTTTATAACACAAAATTTCATAATATTTTTGATAGGTGTGTAAGACTATAAAATCATTTAATTGAAAGCCACCAGAGTTTTGGGATATTATGTAACGGTGTTTCAAATTATATGACGTCCGTTCGTAGTCTCAATACTCTATTAACCAAAGAAGATAAGATATTATGAACGAGGGATTAGCTAATGAAGAAAGGTATCTGAATTCAGAAACATTTGGTGATGATATGCCACAAACTCAAGTTCCAGAGACACATGAAAGTGAAGACGTGTACCCTGTTAACATTGACGATCAAACACGGCCTTCCAGTGATTTTACTCGTCAATATATGCCAGAGGATCTTCCATTTCAGAATCATGCTTACAAAGGTCAACAACAAGGACAGATAAGACGTGAAAGTGCTATAAATAGAGTTCTTGGAAGTTCACGAGCCTCCGCAAGACCAGCTCACGAGGAATTCGTAAAAACAGTCATTCCAAACAACTCTAACAAATGCGATGGATGGTTTTAGAGAATTTCAACGCAAACCTTATACCAAGTGCATCCAGATTTTTTTTTATCAAGATAAATACGATGAGTGCGACAGAGCTATTAAGATATTTGAATCGATGGAAGTTCTGAAGAAAACTTCCTTTTATTGGCATGAATTCAAGCATTGAAAGATTACATATTTTGGCGAAAGTATTTCATTGGTAAAGCTGACAGCACTATTGAGGATAAGCTACAGTTTTTGCAAGCTCTAAGTGGATATACACGAGACAACGAGTTTGTTGAAAAGCGGTTAAGATCACGTTAGAATTCTAGAAGTCCAAATTTAAACGGTTATTTTTCAGATAGTCCATCTTCCAATGGTAATAATTAATAGGGTCAAACTTCAAGCGGACAATGGGGCAACGTTTGTCAGCAGTGGAGGTATACCTCCAAATGCTCCGCAGTGGACTTCATCATCAAATGTTCCACAATGAAGTACACCACTAAATTCTCAGAAATGGGGTTCATCATCAAATGTGCCACAATGGGGTACACCTCCAAATGCTCAAGAATGGGGTTCATCGTCAAATGTTCCACAATATGGTACACATCCAAATGCTCAGCAATGGGGTTCATCATCAAATGTTTCACAATGGGGTACACCTCCAAATGCTCAACAATGGGATTCATCATCAATATTTTTCAGATAGTCCATCTTCCAATGGTAATAATAAATAGGGTCAAACTTCAAGCGGACAATGGGGCAACGTTTGTCAGCAGTGGGGGTATACCTCCAAATGCTCCGCAGTGGACTTCATCATCAAATGTTCCACAATGAAGTACACCACTAAATGCTCAGCAATGGGGTTCATCATCAAATGTTTCACAATGGGGGTACACCTCCAAATGCTCAACAATGGAATTCATCATCAAATGTTCCACTAGTGGTACACCTCCAAATGCTCAGCAATAGGGTTCATCATCAAATGTTCAACAATAGGGTACACCTCCAAATGTTCAACGTAGATTTTGAATAGGACCAGAAGCAGAAACAAGTATGAATAATCAACAAAGAGATTCACTAGAAGGAGAAAGTCGCATCTCCGCTAACCTACATATGAGAGTATCACCTGAATTTAGTTTCACAAATTATTCTTCAGAAATGCAAATTCCAAGATCACACAGAAGATGAGGATTATTAAAAATTTGGGGAAAGAAACAAGAACCACATTTAAATGAAAGTCATCAAAGTAAATCTAAGGACGAATATTAGTTTTGTGGTTTTGTTGTTTCTTATTACCAATTATCTTATGTTTTATTATATGTTTTGTCATATCCATTAAGTATTATGAAGTATTTCTCAATTTAAATTTAGTTAGATTTTGTGGTTGAAATTTTGATTTAGTATTTATTAATTTCTTAAAAGATTTATTTAAATCTTACCTCATATTTATAAAGTTGTAGGCATTTCGTATATTTCACTTGCGAGCACATGGTGTTCAAAATCTAAGTTATGAAAAGCGAATTGAGTTCTGGAATTTCGGAAAATGAGCATTTTGAAGAATTAATCATTCAACCATCATTAAGTTATTACAATCAATATTTTGAAATATAACCAACTCAAACTGATGGTGATTTGGAAAGGATAAATATATGGGATTGATTACAAGAAGATAATGATGCTTGTCTTCAGCTATTACGGATGTTCTTTAGGGTTTTGCTCACATTGTGTGAGAAATTTCAAACAACATATGGTTTACAACCAACATTAAATGTAAGCATTGAAGAGAGTGATGCCATGTTTCTAATGATATGTGGACAAAACTTTAGAGAAATGTTGGATTACGATTTGGACGAGCGCAAGAGACTGTGAATCAAAAAATTTCGAAGTGGTTCAAGCGACTGAATTGCTTGCTTGTGACTATATCAAGACTACAACAACACAAGAGCTAAGACAGGTTCCAAAACCACTAGTTATGGATGAGAGATATTGGCTTTATTTTAGTGGTTTTTGTTAGAGGTATGGATGGAGTTCATGTTTGCATTATAGTGAAGCCTAAAGTTCAAGGAATTTATTGGAATTGCACAATATTACATCATTTAATATAATCGTGATATTTGATTTGAATATGTTATTCACATACATTTGGAATAAAGCACCAGGTTCATGTCACGATACATCAGTTCTCACAATGGTGCAAGACAATGATTTTGGTTTTCCTTTACCTACAGCCAATAAATACTATCTCGTTGACTTGGTCATCCAATTAAACAAGGCTTTTTGGCTCCCTATAGATCTTCACAAAATGGGATTTTTAGGTATCAAATGTCACATTTTGAAAGTGGTCCTCCTCAGAGAACAACAAGAGTTATTTAATAGATATCATGCATCTTTGCGTTCTGTTATTGAGAGGGCTTTTGAAGTTTGGAAGAAAAATGGAGGATTCTTTGTGACTTCCCGAGATATGATATGCATGTTCAGAAAAGAGTGGTGACAACGACAATGAGATTACATAGCTTTATTAGAATTTCAAATTTTTCTGATGAATTTTTCTTTTGATACAATGACACATACATAGATTGTCAATGCTACATCTTTGACTTGACAATGATATGGAAGAAACAGAAATGGGACAAGGAAATTTTATGGCAAACTTTAGAGAACTTATTGTGAATACATTGTAGGCAAACAAAAATGCTCCAAATTAATTTTGTCATTTTCATTGTATGTTGTAATTGTATTTTTAAAAATATTTAAATTTTTCTTGGTATGTATTCAAGTAAAAATAATTACTGTTTATATAAAAGAATCTGTATTTTTATTTAGATATCTAATTAATAAATTATTTTTAACATTCTATTAAATAACCTATTTCGATAACCTAGTTTAATGAATTTATGCATATACATTTATATTTGATCATTCATATTTTGACTGCATATAATTATAAATGATAAATGATATTTATAATTACTTTATATGAATAAAATATCAAAATATTTATGTGTATAACATATACACGTATGGCCGATTTCTCGTAGGGCTTAGTGAAGATGAAGATTTGGCCGATCTCGTGGATCTGGATTGATATTTTCAGGATCTGGGTTTGTTTTTGGAACAATGGAGAGATGGTTTATGAAAGTTATGCTTTTTGTGGGTTGGTTTATGACGATGAAACGTCACGAGTCGAGGACGGTGCTTTTTATAGGATTCTGAAGAAGAAGAAAATCCAGGACTTTTGTTCAATTGGGACCAAGATCTATGGTCTTTGGAATTGGTGTTTGGTGGAAGGCAAGAGGATATGCTCCATATTTGATTTCTATTCGGAAATTTCGGTAAGTTCTGGGTTCTTAACTTTAGGATATGATAAACATATTGTAGGATATCTAACAGATTTGAAGGGGAAGAGATTTGCGTATGAGATTGGTGATATAATGGATCCTGAGGAGATGAGTTCTCTTCAAGCAAAAGTGTTATGTAGGGATGGCGACTCCACTGAAACCCTTACGAAGATGAAGAATCAAGGCCTTTCTGGGTCTATTCATATGGTCTGGTCACAGGATGTGAGAACGATGGCAATGATTTGGTTCGGGATTGTTAATTATCACGAGGTTCTACATGAGTACTCGTATGCACTAGCTGGAATTTTTCTACTGAAGCAATCTCTTTATTTGGTCTCATTAAACCATTCACAGAGACTACGGTTTGATATGGTAAAGGATCGGAGGAGTGGTCTGGTGCAGGCTTACTCTGGTAAGGGTGTGGCTACAAGGAGGGACGATGAATGTTATATACACCATGACTTGGGCTTCATGATCTCAGGGCAAAGGGTTCATGCTGAACATGGGAATGCGTCAGGAAACGGGGGCCTTACTACTTCGAGGTTTACGAGGGGAGCAGTAGAACGCTCACGCTCAATGTTTCTAGTCCTTTGGGGAGAAAACTATTACTTTGGTGAAGATTATTTTTTTAGTATATATTGTTTCATGTTGTATTGGAGGGATCTTTTTATACACATATGGTTCACATCAAGTTATATGGATTTAATTGAGTTGGTACAATGTTGGGTTGGTTTTATGTTTGTATCATATGATTGTTACCATTATGAACATCCGGTGTCTATAGCAGTTTTATGGATACCATTAGAGTTATGGAGGGGGTGGGTTTCATCAAACCAATCCCAAGAAAGTTTTTGCATAAGCCATTGGAATCATGAAGTTGAACGATCTTGCAAGACGTCCATATTCCAAAAGTGTAAGGGGAAGTTTCTTACAAAATGGTTTTGTTGGTTTTTTATCTCTGGTGAAAAGAGTTTTGACTTTGTCGGTAGAGAAATGTACGGCCCTTTAAGATATGTGTGTAGGAAAGAGGAGGTAATGGGCTTGCATTTGTTGAGGTTCTGGCATGGAAATTGGCTAATGCAAGTTTCTCATCGAATTCAACAACTATATTCTTTTGATGTGAGGAAGTTGGTTTTTTGGTGGAATGTTAAAAAACAAATGCTTAAGATCAATTTTTTTCAAGGGTCTCATTATACCCGTTTGTGCTTCTCCCAGGAGCAACCTATATATTATTTTTTCCATGAGAGTGTTAAGCTGGAATTGTAGAGGAATGAGAAGTAAATAGACAATTAGCTATATAAGAGAAATATGGCACAAACATAAACCAGATTTTCTGTTTTTATCGGAAACAAAACAAGATTTTGATTTTGTCCAAGGATTTCAAGCACATTTTGGATATGATAGTTTGGTTACGGTAGATCCAGTTGGCAGGAGTGGGGGTCTCTCTCTTTTCTACAACAATGAGTATCAAGTAAGATTTTATACCCGAGTAATCGGATGATTGATGTGGAAGCAGTGGCGATTGGGAAAAAGGTTTTTCTTACTTTTGTGTATGGAGATCCGGTACAAGACTTACGCTAACAACTCTGGGAAAGATTAACTCGTTATGGGTTAGCAAGATCAGAACCTTGGTTTATTATTAGCGATTTAAATGAGATTACTGGAAATCACAAAAAAAAAAGAAGGGGGGCGTTAAGGAGCTTGGCTTATTTTGTTCCTTTTAACAATATGATTCGAAATAGTGGGTTAATTGAGTTCCCGGCTCGAGGAAATAAAATGTCATGGCAAGGACGTAGAGGGAAAGGGAAAGGAGCGGTGATGATAAGATGTCGTCTCGACAGGGCCCTAGCAAACGAAGAATGGCATACTTTTTTCCGGTGTTCCTATATAGAATACTTCGGGATGGTTGGTTCAGATCATCGTCCAGTAGTGACATATATGGAGGATAAAGTTTAAAAAAGGAGGGGACAATTTAGATTTGATAAGAGATGGATTGGACAGGAGGGTTTTATGGAATCTATTGTTACTGGCTGGACAGAAGAAAATAATGGCCAGATGGATGATTTGGTCACAAAAATTAGTAATTGCCGACATGAGATAGCAGAGTAGAGGAAAAATAATCCACCATATGGAAAGGATAAGATCCAAGATCTCCAAAAGGCTCTAGAAGAGGTACAGATGGATGATAATAGGACACAAGAGGATATATTGGAAGTGTCTAGGAAATTACAGGATGCATACAAAGATGAGGAGGATTACTAGTATCAAAAGAGCCGTAATATGTGGTACTCTTCGGGAGATCTTAATACCAAGTTTTATCATGCTTTAACAAAACAACGACGGGTACGTAA